ACTCCATGGGCAGCAAGAGCTTTCTGTGCTGGTCCCTTTGTTGTGGGAGGAACCTTCGTGCGTATGCAATTTTGGATGTAGGGCTGGCATTTGGGAGGCAAGGTTGAAAACAGGAAACAACAACCATTATCCTCTGGAAAGAAAGCCTGCAAACTTTGACTTTGTGGCCCAATTGGTTGACCAGGCTGGGCACTCCAGGAGCAGCAAGAACTTTCTGTCATGGTCTCTTTGCTGTTGGAGGAATCTTCGTCTGTATGCAATGTTGGGATTTGGGTTGTCAGCTGGGAGGCAAGGTTGAAAACAGGAAACAGCAGCCGTTATCCCCAGCAAAGAAAGCCTGGAAACTTTGACTTTGTGGTGCAGTTGGTTTGTCAGCCTGGGGACTCCATGGGCAGCAAGATCTTTCTGTGCTGGCACCTTTGGTTGGAGACAAATCATCGTCCGTATGCAATTTTGGGAGTCCCCAGGGTGGGGTCTGAAGTGGCCATTGGGAGGGGGACACACAAGTGTGGACAGGGATGGCGGTGTCACGTCCTTGGGCAGGACCCCCAGGGCAATGGGAACCTCTTTCCAGGCCATCCCCTGGCCTCAAGAGAGGACACCAGCCACCCCAGCCACCAACCTCCAGGCCTGTGTCACCTCCATCCGTAAGAAATGCCACCCCAACCACCTTGTTAGGAGGCAGAGGTTATTAAGAAGAGGAATGAAGAAGTTTTACAGGCTGTGGAAGCCTGGGGAGATGCAGTACCAGCACGGATCAACATGGGAGCAAGGGAAGACCCCACGAACCGGTCCCGAGGTGGTGACCCTGGAGTTAACCAGTGGGCTGCCTGGCTAGCCGCAGGGCTGGTTGTCTGGTTGGCCAGGTTGGTGACTGGTCAGCTTCTTGGCTGGTGGGTTGGCCAACTGGTTGGTGGGCTTAAAGGCCAACCAGGCGGCTTGTTGGTGGTCTGGGTGGTCGGTAGCCAAGTAGCTCACTGGTAGTGGGCTGGCTGGTTGGGCTTTGTGGTAGATGGCCATGGGGTAGGCTGGTTGGCTGGTGGGTTGGTTGTTTCATTGGTCAACTGATTGCCTGTCTGGCTTGTTGGCTAGTTGGCTGGCTGGCCAGTTGACCAACAGGCTGTTTGGCTGGTTGGCCAGTAGAGCACCAGGCTGGTTGACTCTCCAGCTGTCTGTCTGGCCAGTTGCCCAGTTGGCTGGTGGCCAGGGGCTGGCTAGCAGGCCAGACAGCCGTGTCAGCCCTGGCCCCTGGGACAGTGACATCCAACGCCAGGCACTGTCCCTCGCCAAACGGAGGAGCCCGGCTGCAGGCGGGGGTGGGGCAAGGTGTGGGTGGCACATCCCCCCGTCCCTGTCGCTGTCACGTTTCCTCTCATTACAGACACGGCGGGCCCGTCACCCTCCCGCCGCGTGGCAATTAAGGGCTGCCAACACCAGCAGTTAATTAGCGCCGGCGGTGAGTGCTGCCAGGTGACGGCTGAGCGGCTGGCGAGGGGATGGGCTGGGGACGTGTTCCCCCGGGGGTACGAGGGGTGGGAGTAGCGGGGACTTGGGCTGACGGCACCAGCTGTGCTGTCCCCGGGGCGACGTGACGACTGCGCACCCTGGGCCGACGTGACGCGGCGAAGGGTGCGCAGTGACAGCGGGGGACAGCGACGGGATGTGTAGGGATGGCACTGGGGAGTGTCCTGCCCGGTGACGGTGTGTGACACCCCAGGCCGTGCAGTGACGGTGACAGTGGGTGACACCCCGTAGGCCACCCGATGACATGGCATTATGTGACAGCCTCTGCACCAGGCACTGACGGTGACTCTGTGTGACAACCCACGGGAGCTGCAGTGACACTGCATGGCACCCGGCAGCCTCGCGGTGCCAGTGACACCCTGTGCACTGCGCGGTGACAGTGACACCATGTGACACCCCAGAGAGTAACAGTGAAGCTGTGCAGCACCGCGGGGCTGTGCTGTGTGACATGAGTGGGGCTGTGCAGCCACGGTGACACTGTGTGACACCCCGGGGAGGTGTGCAGTGACATCGACACTGTGCCACACCCCAGGGACCGTGCAGGGACGGTGACACTGTGCTAACACCATGCAGTGACAGTGACACCCGTGACAACAGGCACCGTGCAGTGACACTGGTGACACCAGTGCCAGGCAGTGACATCACACTCAGACCCCTCGGGCTGTCCCTCCTCGTGGGTATTGAGCCCCCCAGCCAGCTCACAGCTGGGGCAGTCCCCACTGGGGAATGTCACCCTGACGCTAGAGCCCATAGGGGGACATCTGCACCCTGTGGGTGTCTCATGATGGGGTGCTCCAAGGAAGGGGGGGGTCACAATGGGATGCACGGGAGAAGGGTTACACTGGGGGGGGAGCTCCAGGAAAGGGGGTGCGGTGGGAAAAGGGGTGCTCTGAGGAAGGGATGCACTGGGGAGAGGGTGCAGCAGGGAGGGGGTGCACTGGGGAAGGAGGTGCTCCAGGTAGGGGTGCTCTGGCTCGGAAGGAGGTGCAGACGGACAGGGTGAAGTAGGAGGAGTGTCCGCCTGTCACGAGCCCCCGGCAGCCACAGTGGAATCGATCCGGCCGCCAATTTGCACAGTCAAATATTTGGCTTCGTGGCGCGGGGCCGGCTCTGCCCGAGCCCCCCCCGGTGTGCGCGGGGGTGACGCTGATCCGCGATTGATGGTGGGACGTGGGGTGAGCAGGGCCGGGGGTGTGACGGGGCTGGGGGCCGTGGCACAGCACCCTCCGGCCTTCGGAGCCCACGCGGAGCCCGCTCGGGGGGAAGCACTCGTGTCACGAGCGCGGGGTCTCAGCCGGGGTGTCCTTCAGGATGCCTCCTCCACGGCCACAGATCGCACTGTTGATGCCACCCAGCCCACGGAGCTGAGCCGTCTGTCACCGGCGGGGGACACGAGCTTGTCCCTGAGGGGGTTTGACTGGGAGGTGGGCGGGGGACTAGGGATGCTGGGGCAATCCTGGGGCAGCACCCACAGCTGGGCACCGCGCAGCAACAGCCCCATGGCCAATCGCCCAGTTCCAGAGCCCTTCCCCGGTGGGTGCCGACACCCAGGCACGCAGCCCACATAGGGGGCTCAATCCCCAACTCCGCCCAGAGCACCCAAACTAGGCCCCCACCAGCCCCATGATCAGCCCTGTGCTTCACCATCCCCTGAAACCAGTCACTCCCTCGGCCCCGCTAAACTCGTTAGTGAACATCAGCCGGGCGGGAGTGAAGCACCAAATGCGATTACAGCCCCGGCTCGCTCCCTCCTTCCACCCCTGGTCCCATCCGGGGCTGATTTATGGCTGGCCGGGAGGGATTCCGGTAGCGCCGAGGGTTTAAGAAGCATTAAGAGCAGGGAGGGGTTGTTTGAAGGGCTCCTTCCACTTCGGGAATGCTCTCTGGGGCTGCACAGCGACCGCTGGGTCTCTCCAGATGGGCGTGACACAGGATCTGTGGGTGCACTGTGGGGCTCAGGGGAGGGCAAAGGAGTGGGAAGGGTGTCTGGCCCCTAAAAGGGGCACGTGCTGGCTGGGGACACTCTGAGACAGTCCCTGTGCGTAAAGGCTGGCACTGGGGACAGCCAGGACACTACCTCACAGGGCAGAGCCCGGGAAGGAGGGTGGGAGTATCCTGGAGACCGCTGCGTGCAGGAAGGAGGGGTGGCCAAGGGTTGGCAGCACCCACCCTTCTCAAAGTGTGGGGACAAGGGGTGGCAGTGGACACGGGGGTACCCCAGGGGGAAAACAGTGGCACAGAGAACCACAGGGGGCCCAGGATCACATCCCAGGAAGCCAGAACTGCCCAGAGCCAACACGGATCCATAGCCCCCCCCAAGGAAGCTCAGGGCAGGGTTGACGCTTCGAGCAGCTCCTGGAGCAGCCCAGGGATGTTTACTGGGAAGAGCACGAGCGTCCGTCAGCTCTGCCTGCGTGTGCTGAACTTTACAGAGCGCAACCGTGACCCGGCATAGGAAATGACCTGGGAATGGACCGGGAAGAGCTGCGGGAGCAGCCGCGAGAGCAGTTGCTGTTCAGTGTTTTATTAAAACAAAAGTGAAGAGCCAGTACCCGCCTCGCCCAGGCTCGGCTCTCCCGTCGGGAAAGCGCCGTCGAAGGAAGCTCAAACAGCAGGAAATGAGTCTGAACGAGGCAGAGCCCAGGTCTCTGCCCACTCCAGGCTGTATCAGACCCTCGGATCCAAAGACAAGGGTGACCCACTAGCGATGGCTACAGAAGCAGAGGGTGGGAGGGAGGGGAGCAGCCACCTGAACACCCGACCCACGTGAACGATGTCCGTCCGACCCACGTGAACGATGTCCGTCTGCCCCAGGCAGATTTAACACGTTTCCATTAAATGAATGTGAAAGAGGGGAAATCCCAGGTCTAAACTCGGATTAGGAGGGCTGAGCTGCAGGGGATCACCCCAGGGACATTGTTGGCAGGGACAGAGCCCAAGAGGCCACCTTTTCCCAGGGAAGAGATTGTCCTGGAAGACATTTAAGTGAGATTGTCCCATATTAAAGTAAGATTGTCCTGGATTAAAGTGAGATTGTCCTGGATTAGAATGAGATCGTCCCGGATTAAAGTGCCTCAACTCACCAAAGTCCCACCATAGAGACCCACGGGGGGACAATAAGAGCCTCCCCTCAGAGGCACAGCTGGTGGGCAAGAACCTGAGCAGGGAGAAGGTGCCGGAAAAAAAAACCCTGGTTACATTCACCTTGGGAACTGTACAAGGAGACACCTCTCGCCGCTGTCTGCATTCAGCTGGCGAAGCTCATTAACAGAGGTGGCCTTTTGGTGCCCTTTTCAAACCAGGGAATTCAGGCCCCTTCCCTGACTAAGAGAAAAGGTGAATTAGGAGATGAGATGCCGCAGGAGGAGGAACACCAGCCCCCCGAGCCCGTCGACGGCCTCGCCCACTGCCAGCTGGGCCCAGAAAAAATCCAGGGAATCCTTGAGGCGGGTGTGGAGCCGCAGCACCTGCCGGCGAGTGCTCTCCCTGTCCTCCGAGTTGTCAATGATGTGAGCTGCCTGCTGGAGCTTCTCCTCCAGTGGGATCTGGGAGCTGATCCAGGCATCAGCTGCGGCCACGTCCAGCCCGTTCCACCTCATCAGCCACGCGCACTGCGCCAGGGGGTCACTGCTGGGGAGGGAGACAGAGCTCAGTTGGGGTGGGAGGGAAGGGGGGTCTGCCTTCCTTGGGCATGAGGGGGGATAAAAAAGTGGAAATGAGAAACATTGCCTGTGTCATTTCTGCCCCAGACATCGGGTTAGCACTGCCCAGGATGACCCCGCTGCGTGTTTTTGGCATTCCCACAGCCCACAGCACCAGGCAGTGCCCCAAATCCTGCCCCAGCTGATGGTGCACAGGCTGTAGAAGGCTTGAAGGAACAACATTCCCTGTATGATGGTGCTAGCTTCCAGGGAAAGCTCAAGAAACCCCCTCAAGTGCACTAGGATAAAGGGAGGTGCCACAGCACAAAGGGATATGTTACTTCTCTCAACGGGTTTCACACCAGGGCAGTGGCTGAGCCCTCACCAGAGCAGAGAGATGTGACAGCCCCCTCTAAGAGAGGTGGCAGTGTCCCTGTCCTCATGGTTCCTGGGGCACTTACCAATAAACCAGGACCGTGTATCTCATAAACTTGGTCAACCCGTGGGTCTTGAAGAGCAGAGGGATGTCCAGGATCACGTAGCGGTATCCTGTGGAAACGGCAACACCCTTCAGAAAAGGGAACAGCATTAACCCCTGTTCCCAAATCCCTCCTGCTACACACACACCATGGCCATGAAAAGCAAAGGAAGCGGGAGCTCTACAGTTCCACGATTGCAGCAGAGCCCATTCGCCCTCCTCCCTCTTGCAGGGAGGAAATGGTTTCATTCCAAGTTTCCAGAGGAAAAAAAAACAAACAACCCTAACGTGGCTGCTCTCAGACCAGAGGTGAAGCTGCAGAAACATAAGGAGGAGCTGAAATGAGGAGTTGAAATGAGAGCAGCAGTACCTGTCCGGCGAGAGTGGCAGCCATGCCGGGCTCTCCCGGGAAGCAGTGTCCACAGCAGGGTCTGCTCTCCACTTCTTCCTTGTCCAAGACTTTGCCAGGCTGCAGTCATCTGAGCCAACCTTCTCCATCTCAGTTTTCCTGCCTTTATGCAAAGCTTTAGCTATACAACTCCATTTTTCCAAGGGAAACAAGGAAATCCTTGCAGCTGTGACACCAAAACATGGGTGATCCTCTGGGCATGGCCCCAAGGCTGAACCCTCACCAGAGGTTTTGTACCTGGTGCTTCCCTCACCTGAACCTCGCCACTCACCTGGAGCCCCAGCAGGTGTGCAAACCATCAGCCTGAAGAGCCCTTCTTCCTCCATGAGCAGCTTTCCCTGGACAATCCCACCTGCCCAGCAATGGGAGGGAATAAAAAGTCACCCAAGAAATATCACAGAGCCTTTTTTTATGACAGCACAGCTGCCCATTTATATTTCCTTTGCCCCCCGGGCGTGGCTCCGTGTCTCAGTTTAATCGGTTTAGCCGCACTCAGGGAGGTTTTTATTTTCTTTCCCTCTGACATGATTAGGTTTGTGGGAGCCAGAGCTGAGCAGAGCACTGACAAGGTGCTTAATCACAACCACTTCCCAGCCTAGAGGTTCCTCCTGCCATTTTGCTAGGAAAAGGTGTGTTCTGGAGCCCTCCTCGGGTCCTGGTGTGTGATTCCTGTCACCCAGAGGAGCTGGAATGTTTTTGACTGCAGATGCCACAAGCTGAGTGGGAGATGTCCATTAGGAAATAGTTTGGATTGCTTGGGAAATAACGTTAAAAGCGTGGCTGGTGGGCACAGTGATGAGGAGTACAAGACAGGGGGGCTTTGAAGCTCTCTGGGAAATCTCCTGCCCCCCAAAACCTCATGGGGATCCACCCAGGAGAGACCAAGCAGTGGGGAGTGAATTTCCTTCTGGATGTCGATTCCATACCATCACATCCCACTGGGGTGTGGGAGTGTTTCGGGTCACCCCAGTGACACTGTCCCCAAAAACAGGGCAGGGGACGGGCCTGGAGCTGCTGGGCTTTGGAGAGCCACACTGGGAGTGCTGTCACTGCCGGTCTGTGCACTGGATCCTGGCACTGAGATTTAAAACATGAATGTATTCCTTAGTGAAAGTAGCACTTCCTTTCCTTTTAAGGACAGAAAAGAGGAATTAGGTTTCCTCAGCCTCAGTCCTGTGTCAGCAGTGGGAAGTGGCTGCACTGCTCTCTGCTGTGGCCATCCAAGTTCATAGAATCATAGAATCATAGAATCATAGAATAGATTGGGTTGGAAAAGACCTCCAAGATCATCAAGTCCAACCCCTGATCCAACTCCAATTACTATATCATGGCACTAAGGGCCACGTCCAATCTCTTTTTAAAAACCTCCAGGGATGGTGAATCCACCACCTCTCTGGGTAGGCCGTTCCAATGCCTGATAACCCTCTCTGTAAAGAATTTCTTCCTAACATCTAACCTAAACCTCCCCTGGCAGAGCTTGAGCCCATGTCCCCTTGTCCTATTGTTGGTTGCCTGGGAGAAGAGACCAACCCCCACCTGGCTATAACCTCCCTTCAGGTAGTTGAAGAGAGTGATGAGGTCGCCTCTAAGCCTTCTCTTCTCCAGACTGAACAACCCCAGCTCTCTCAGCCTCTCCTCATAGGACTTGTGCTCCAGTCCCTTCACCAGCCTCGTTGCTCTTCTTTGGACCCGCTCCAGCACCTCAATATCCCTCCTGAACTGAGGGGCCCAGAGCTGAACACAATACTCCAGGTGTGGCCTCACCAGTGCAGAGTACAGGGGAAGGATCACTTCCCTGCTCCTGCTGGCCACACTGTTCTTGATGCAGGCCAGGATGCCATTGGCCTTCTTGGCCACCTGAGCACACTGCTGGCTCATGTTCAGCCTCCTGTCGATCAGCACCCCCAGGTCCCTTTCCGCCTGGCTGCTCTCTAGCCACTCTGTGCCCAGCCTATAGCGCTGCAGGGGGTTGCTGTGGCCAAAGTGCAGGACCCGGCACTTGGCCTTGTTGAACTTCATTCCATTGGAGTCAGCCCATCTCTCCAGTCTATCCAGATCCCTCTGCAGAGCCCTCCTGCCTTCCGGCAGGTCGACACTCCCTCCCAATTTGGTGTCATCAGCAAATTTGCTGATGATGGACTCAATCCCCTCATCTAAATCATCGATAAAGATGTTAAAAAGGACTGGGCCCAGCACTGACCCCTGGGGAACACCACTGGTGACCGGTCGCCAATTGGATGCAGCTCCGTTCACCAGCACTCTCTGGGCCCGGCCCTTGAGCCAGTTCCTGACCCAGCACAGAGTGCCCCTGTCCAAGCCGTGGGTTGCCAGCTTTTCCAGGAGTATGCTATGGGAGACAGTGTCAAAGGCTTTGCTGAAGTCCAGATAGACCACATCCACAGCCTTTCCCTCATCCACCAGGTGGGTCACCTGATCGTAAAAGGAGATCAGGTTGGTCAAACAGGATCTGCCCTTCCTAAACCCATGTTGGCTGGGTCTGATCCCTTGTCCATCCTGTAGCTGCTGTGTGATTTCACACAGGATGATCTGCTCCATAACTCTGCCAGGCACCGAGGTCAGGCTGACAGGCCTGTAGTTACCAGGGTCAGCCTTGCAGCCTTTTTTATGGATTGGGGTGATATTTGCCAACTTCCAGTCATATGGGACCTCCCCAGTGAGCCAGGATTGTTGGAAGATGATGGAGAGCGGCTTGGCAAGCTCTTCTGCCAGCTCCCTCATTACCCTAGGATGGATCCCATCTGGTCCCATAGACTTGTGAGGATCCAGATGACTCAGTAAGTCACTAACAATTTCCTCCTGGAATACAAGGGGGCTATTTGGTTTCCTATCTCTGTCTACCAGCTCCAGAGGCCGGTTGCCTTGAGGGCCACCTGTCCTACTGGTAAAAACTGAGGCAAAGTAAGTGTTAAGTACCTCAGCCTTCTCCTCATCTCTATTAACTATGTTTCCCTCCAAGTCCCTCAAAGAATGAAGGTTTTCTTTGCTCCTCCTTTTGTTATTAATGTATTTATAGAAGGACTTTTTGTTATCCCTAACAGAAGTGGCTAATTTAACTTCAAGTTGATTTTCCAATGAAAACACTCTCACTTTGGTGTTCGTCATGTTTTCCTTTGTGTGGAGAGTGTGTCCTTCTGCTGTGTCCCTTGTGTTTGTGGAGGGTTTATTCCCTGACTCTGGAAATGGGCCCAGGTTGGTGGGGTTTGTCACCTCACAGGCAACAAGGGCAACGGTGACACCAGGGATTGGAGTGTCCCAGCCCCATGAAACAGGTCAGTTCCAGGCAGGAAGAGCTTGAGAATTCCCTGAAGCGCAGTTCAGTTGTTGCTGGATGGGGTGTGAGGGGGGAAAAGGAGCTTTTCCAGAGGGGCAGCTGCCAGTTTGGCAATCCCTGCCAGCACTTCACCATGAAAGGATGTTCCTGGGACAACCACGTGGAATTCAGCTGTAGGTGTTGTGTGGGGCTGAGCTCTGCCATCTGGAGATCCTCCTCCCTCCCCAGCCCCTAACGAGATTACATTCTAAATACTGCTCCCGATTAGACCCGGGTTTGGTACACGGGGGTTTGGCATGGTCACAGTTGTTTGGGGGTGGTCGAGGGGTGTATGGGAGTTCCCGGGGGGCTTTTGGGGGGTTTCTGGGGGTCCCGAGGTGATGGAATGCCCCTCCCGGGCCCCTGTGAGCTCCCAGAGCGCCAACAAGACCTGGGAGTTGAGTCTGTACGAGCTGCACCGAACCCCGCAGGTAAAGGGGGGGAAAGACCCTGAAATTAGGGGGAGGGGGAGGACCCCAAAATGGGGGGGAAAACAACCTGAAGTGGGGGGGGAGACCCCAAAAAGGGGGGGAGGGAGGGACCCTGAAACTGGAGGGGAAACAACCCGAAACTGGGGGGAAAAACAACCTGGAATTGGGAGGGGGAAGAGACCCTGAAATGGAGGGCGGGGGGGACATCTGACTTGTGGTGTCAGATGTCAAGACCTTGAAATTGGCGGGAGTAACTATGACTCTCTTAGTAGTAAGAGGGCTCTACGTTACTGACTGGGCGCAGCTGCAAAGGTCGCACCTCCTCGCTGGTCCCACCGGATGCCCGTTAAAGGGTAACCAAGTCGACCTCTGCCCCAGGCTTTCAACCACTCTCTCCCTATTGCTGGCCTCACCACCCAGTGGTGAAACCAATTTCTGGTGACAGCTCACCCGAGCTTGTTACCCAGAGCCTTGCCCACGGGTAAATAAGATGGGCAAAGCTGGCAGTTATACCTGAGGGGGTATGCTGCTGGCTTCCTCCATCCTCTACCGGACGGTGTGTCGCCCTATCGTGTGAGCTGACCGAACGCATGATAGTATGAGGTCATAGGTGGTCTGCAGAGACCAAGAGACTACCTCTGGAACAGGATATACGCCTGGTTGCTGGGCAGGGGTTTGTTGCTAATCGGCCTCTGTTTTCTGTCCCCATTCGTGGCTCCGAGCTGCGTAGCAAGGAGCAGGTGGGGACACAAGTTGTTACGACTTCAGACACAAGTTGTTCCCCTCTCTTTCGGACGGGCATATGCAAGCGTTGCTGGAGCACGGGGGACAATATTGACCTAACACGCAGCCACCGACTAAAATCCCAAGCTGATGGGGCTCCAGAGGCATGCCCGGAGATGGTGAAAGTGTCAGGCTTTACGGCCCCCAGTAGCTCGCATGGGCTGTGCCCTGCCCTGGGGTTTGGGCTACAACTTTGATGCCTGGAGGTAATATCGGCCTCTGTATGCCCCGCTAATGTTGCTTTTAACTGTGTAGGGAGGAACCGGGGGCAGGGACATGCCATTACAATACTCCCTTATGCAGGCGCTGGGTAGTACCCCTTTCCAGTGGATGTGGAAGCACACCATGCCGATCAGGGGCGTCTGTGATTCTGGTAGCGGCTGTGCTAGCTCACTGGTGCTCCAGTGCTGAGGGGCGGTGGCAACAGCAGAGGGACCCTGCTGCCGTCATGTCCCCGCCTGGGCGTAGACCTGGTGACCCCCCGGCTCAGCGGGAAGTGGCCGAACCTCGGTGCCCCTGGGCACGCCTGGGCAGTGCAGGACGGAGGCGGTTCCATCCCCACCCCCGCGCGTGCGGGTGTGGCGCTGAGGGTTGGTTCTCCCCATTGCTAGGTGAAGTGGGTAGACCTGTTCCCGGCGAGAGGACTTAGAGCCAGAGCACCTGGGCTGGCCCCGGCAGCAGGAAGACCCGTTGCCGGTGAGGGGACTTGGAACCTGAGTGCCCGGGCGGGCCCCAGTGGAGGGTAGACTTGTTGCCAGCGACGGGACTTGGAACCTGAGGC